AGCTTAGAAAGCACACCCCTCTGGTAATCATCCTCCCTTTGCTGGCCAGGACTGGCTAAGAGAAGATCCATCAAGAGTGAACCTCCCAAACTCCCCATCCAGCAAGGTGGGAGGAGCCTACAAGACAGAACAGAGACGCACAGAGCCAGGGACAGAGGCTAATACAGACTGATATAGATTCAGAGATGGGAAGATATAGGGACACAGGCAAAGACCCAGAGACAAGGAGTAGTGAGTGTGTGTGTGTGTGTGTGTGTGTGTGTGTGCGCGCGCGCGCACGCGCGGGTGCAAGCCCAGTCATGTACCTGTATGCATATACATATGTGTGTAACCACAGAGAAATCAGGTGACTTGAGGCTAGCAAAAGGAGGATAATGGGATGGATTGTGCCTCCCAAAGTTCAGGACCTTGGTGATGGGCTTCTGTCATAACCTAGGCGTGGGTGTGCCCACTGCTGAAGCAGCCCCAGAACTTGGCACTGGGACCCAAAATTCTGGTTGGGGCCATCTGACCTTATGCCTCTCAACACCTCTGTCCCTTCCTTCCTCACTTCTCTGCTCTGTCTGTACCCAAGTCCCTGCTTCCTGGCTTCTGTTTCCCTGAGTGTTACTACTTCTGCTTCATCCTCTCGCCATCCTTGTCTTTTCCCTCTTTTTTTTTTATGTCTGTCACATCCCATATCTGTCTGTCTGTTTCTTTGCATATGCCTGTGCTTGTCCTTTGGACTGCCAGTGCCAGTGTACACCTGTGTGTACGTCCATCTTTGTGGATATTTGCCTCTCTGCCAAGGCAAGGTGGAGAAGTGCTGAGGACCTGGTTGGGTGTGCTCATCTCTTGGTCCAAGCTTGCATTTGTCTGTCTCTGTTACTGTGAGCTCCTGTGTGTGTGAATCAAATGTATCCACTGTGTGTTGGTGTGCATCCCTCTCTGAGTGCTAGTTTCTGTGTGAATATATTTTGCTCCACATGTCTGTGTTCACCTCTACCTTGTGGTAGGCCATACCAATGCATCTGCGGCATGCCTGGAGGTTGTGAGCGCTCAGGTCTCAGGGCATGGACCTGTCTCTCTATTTCTTTGCTTGTCCCCATCTCTCACTGTCTAGGGTTGGTCATATCACAACCTCAGCCTCAGTGCATAGCAACAGCTGACAGCTGAAGATTCCCTGGGCAGGGAAGACAGAGACTAGAGGGAGGAGGGCACTGACGAAGAAACAGCCGAGAGAATGAGAACAGAGACAGATGCTGGGGACAGAGACAAGGACAGAAACAGACAGGGAAGGGGACAAGGATCAAGAAGAGGTGGTGGTGGAAGATGGAACACTGGAAGGGAAGGGATAGGCTACATCAAGACTCTGGGCAGGCATTGAGCTGGACTTCCCATGCAGCGCCTATGCAGTGGGGCGCTGTAAGGTGCAGAGGTCAGAGTGGGTGGGGGTCTAGGGACAAAGGTGAATGGGCCAGTAGAGCCTAGGAGTCCTAAGACTGCAGAGGTGCCTTAGGGCGGAGGTGGGGGGCGGCGGGCGCCGTTTGTCAGCCCTATTGACAGACGTGATGGGGTTTCCGTCCGTGATCAATGATTCTCATCTCCGGGCCGAATGAGCCGCGGGGCGCCCATCCATCCCCGTCAGCGCAGAGCCACGGCAGCCGCCTGAGGCCCCACCCGCCCTCACCCTGGCCCCTGCCCTGCTCCTGGCCCCTGCCCTGCTCCTGGCCCCTGCCCGGTTCCTGCCCTGGGACCCACCTTGGCCCAGGGCATGGAAGGGCCCCGGGACATCAAGGGGTCCTGGTCCTGCAGCATCGCTGAACCTCGCCAGATTCCTGCTCCGCGGTGCCCCCTTTACACGAACAGTCCCAAACCTCGAGCCCCACGCCCTTTCCTTTTCCTCGTCGGTGCACAGACCCTTGGCATCTCGAGGGCGCGGCCCCTGAGCCCCTCAACCCTCTCCGCTTCGCACCTGGACCAGGGGCGTGTCTGGGGCGTGTCGGGGTGAAA